AGAGGCTGTGGGAGCTGGCCATGTTCAGCCTGGAGAAGACTGAGGGATGGCATTAATGCACAGAAATATATCAAAGGGGTGCCAAGAGGATGGTGCCAGGCTCTTTTCAGTGGTGCCCAGTGATGGGACAAGGAGCAATGGTCGTAAACTGAAACATAAAAAGTTCCTCCCAGGGAGAGGTCATGGAGTCTCCCTGTCGGGAGACATTCCAAACCCATTTGGATGCATTTCTCTGTAACCTGCCCAGGTGACCCTGCCTTGGCAGGGGGTTGGACTGGATGATCTCCAGAGGTCCCTTCCAACCCTAACAATTCTRTAATTCTGTGAAAGAGAACTGCCTTCTTTTTAGTGTATTCTGTTACATGCAACTAAAGAGTCCTGGACATCTCGGTTTGAAGGCAGTGTGACAGCTAGTCAATTAAGATGCTCTCTAACATGAATAAAATGATCAGAATTTGGCCAGAGAATGTTGCTGTGAGATTATTTACAAATACAATTTACAAAATCTCGTGTAAACCCCTACAGTGTTACAAGGTAAACAATCAAAGAGAAAACCTGAAATGTGCCAGGTTCCCTCATAGATATTGTGTCCTAATCAAGAGAATATTTTTTAATGGAAGTTCTTTTGTTGTCTTGTTTTGATTTCTAAGAGGACTTTTCTTCAGCGTTAGATTCTCAGAAATCTTTTCTTTTTTTTTTTTTTAGTAATTAATAATGGAGCAGGCTTTTAGTATCTACCCTGGAAGGTAAAAACCCTTAATCACAGTAACATCATTAGTGCTTTCAAGCATTTAATTTTGATGCTTGACAAAGCRCATAGCCATTGATAAGAACAAATAAGTGTTGTGTGCAATTGAGGGAATAAAGAAAAGCATGAAAACCCCTAAGCTTCAAGTAATTAAATTTAAATATGTTATTTGAATTTAGCTGAGATAATGTACAAACTGTGGGTATATTTTTCAGTCAGTGAAAGACCCCTTGAGTAAACACGATCCATTTAAATTCAAATCATGGGGAGTGGAAAGTAAACCCTGCTGTGGGTAAGAAGGCATCTTCAATAAAACACTGGGCATTGTGTATCTTTGATATCTGAGTACTCATGTGTTGTAGTTTTATAAAGGGCTGTTTTCACTCATGGATGCCTACATGCCAGAGAGTTTATTGCATCTATTTATTTCCTGTTTTTTTCCTCTTTCCATTCCTCCCCRCCCTTCCTAATTTGAACCAGTAATGAAAAACTGACACTCTGCCTCTACCATCCTTTAAAGTGCCTCAAAACTGCTACAATTCAGCRCTAGCTAGCCTTGGGATATGGCTTTATGGCATTTGGGTGAAGTTTTTGTAGTACATCTGTGCTCTTTCTCTCTCTGTAGGCCACAAGCTCAGAACTGAGGTAATAAAACTACTAGTAGGTGTTTAATGGCAGGTTATTGAGGAAGKAGATGAAAGAAAATTGCAACATTCACATCAGTGGGGAGTGGGGTTTTTWAGGGAGAGGAACTGCTGAGCTTTGAACTCAGGAAAGTTACACTTGGTGCTTTTGTTCAAGGGGGGGACCTCTTTTTAGACACCAAAATGCCTCATTCTGTGAAATGGGCTGTTCTGGTAGGATTGGTGCTTGGTGTGTGCAGTCTGTGCACGTGTGGCAGAAAGCATGCTGTTGTAAGCAGTGATGATTGAGAAACAAGTCATTGCTTAGTGCTCCTTTCCAAATATCAGGGAGCAGAGTGGAGGAAAATGCAAAAAGTGAAAGAAAAAGTCATCTCCYACTCCCTTCCATAAGTTTCATGGGATCTTATTGTGAACATCTTAATTGTGTACATTATTCTTTTTGGTCAAGCCGTCCTCATGGGTTTTATGTAGGAATGTGTGTATCTAATGAACAGTTAACCCATGCACATAGAAGAGAATGTTCTGTCTTTTATTCTGCTCATGATCAAAGCATCATTTTACAACCTGTGCSGTGTTTATCTTCACATCATCCCTAAGAGGCAATTTAAAGGCAAAAGGGAGAACAAAGAATGTAAATATTTTGCACAAGCTTGCTCAGGAGGCTGTGTCTGCTGCCTGGAGTGCCATGTTGAGCTGGCAGTGCTGATGTCCTCTTTGTCCTGGGCAGTACTGACCAGACTCTTAGGCCCTTTGGTAATGCCTGTGGAAAGAGAAACTGTTGTTCTTCCAGGAGCCCACTCTTTCAGGTCAGATGGTGGATGCAGAAAAGCAAAGAAACAAATAAACCTGATTTGTAGGGCTACTTGCAGAAATAAAACAGAGGATTGTATCCATGCAGTGGGATAACTGCAGTACTCCTTTGGGTACTGAGCCCAGTTTCTCTAGGTCCTGAGAGTTTCAGCTCACCATCCTGTTGCACAGACCATGGTAGATCTGTGCTGCAGAGATGTCACTCCTGAAGAGCCTCTTGCAGTTCTGATACTCGTTCCTGTAGCTGGACTTTAGCATTCCTAGGATTTCTGTATAGCATATGGGGAGGCAGGATGTGCAGTAAAAACAAAGTCAGAAACAAATGGCCCATCTGCAGAATGCAGGACAAAGAAGATACTAAAAGTTACAGACGATGCGTTTGCATATAAAGGGCAGGAAGGAAAAAATGGAGCCTTTCTTAAAATAGGGCCATTTTTTAAATTGTGAGGAGTAACAAAGGAATTGATGTACAAGTCCTTTTTGTGTCCTGTGTTGCTTATTCCAGTATAGTAGTGCCTAAGATCAGCTGTCCATTTTTGGGGGACATGAGAAAGCACTTGTTAAGCTATATAAAGCTAAGCATCTTTCACAAGAAGGCTTAGTTAATATAAATTCTTCTGCTGCAAATAGCCATTTTACAACAAAGGACAAATGTGTTTTCATACAGCACTTACCAGCCCAATATTGAAGGACTCACTAAATTCCAATATAGATGCCTGCCGAAATGAAATGGGAAACCAAGGAGGTTAAAGAGAGGATAAAGGAAAGAAAGTGAACCTTCTCTCTACAATTCTTGAGGTCAGACCAGCATAAGTGACAGATTCTGAGTAAAAAGAATTGCTTTTCTGCCCTGCATGAGGCACCGATTAACTAAGCAGATTTCTCTCTGCTTGGTTTATCAGTAATGGCGTGTGCRTGTGTGTTTTAGGGTAACAAATCTGATTTCTAATTTATTAGCTGAGCAGTATYCTTATTGCAGAGGGGAATTAAAAAAAGGTTTGATTCTCTGTTGAGGAAGTGTGAGGTTATTAAGCAGGTTTGCAGTCGTGCCACAGATATAATTTGATGGAGCACACCTGGATCCTCCCTGTTGGCTGTGTTTATAGTCTCCTCTGTCATTCAGTATTTGCCTTTGCCTGTGAGAGACAGACAAGGAAAAAAGAGATAAAGGTTCTGGAGGCATTTCTAACAGAGATGCCAAACTGTCAAATAGTAAATCGGGAAGCAGCTCCCTGATGGTTTCACATCAAGAGGAGACACCCTTTTGTGACTGCGGTGTCTACCGGTTATTTTCACTTCCATCAGAGCTGTCTGATATGGTCAAGTAGGTTTGAGGCTTTCAACATTCAATTTTCCTTTCATTTATAGTGACTGTTTTATTTATTTGTCTTTCTTGGTAGTTTTCAAGGATACCTGTTGCAAGGATACCTTCAACTTTAAAACATTTTCATGGATTGTCATCCCAAAGTTAAAGGTAGAAAACAAAACAAAAAGAAAGGGGAATGGGGAAAAAAGAGCAGCTACAGCATCAGGGGACAAAAGAAGAAATATATTCAATTTAGGAAGACCTCTAATCTCTGGTTATACAGGACAGCTTTGTTAGATAAGATTAAAAATTYCATGAATGTCCCTTTTTATCCCTGGAGACTCCGCCATTTATACCAGCTATTGTCAGCATCAAAAGAGCTTGATAACAGCTGGCTGGAGACGTGACCACACAGCAACACAACAGCAAGAAAGGGGCAGCCGGGTTCATCAATCTTCAGRAAACCCGTTCCCCAGCGCAGCCATGAATCTGCGGCTATCGCGGGCAAAGGGAGAAGGCATTGTCCTCCAGCCAGTCAGAAACCTGAACTTCAGCRTTAGCAGGGGCTCTTTAGACAGTGCACGGTGCACAAAGAGATGTTTTCCATTATCTTCGTCACTGCAGCCCCTATTACTGACACAGATACAGTTTAAAGGATCTTGGAGTTTCGCGTGTTGCTAGGGAGAGTTTTTCCAAAAATGCTGCAGCGCTTACCCTTGGCGGTGCAATCCTCAATCAATGCAGCCCCRCATGGGATGGGGTCAGGCGATGCCATTTCAGTGCACAATGCACCAATCTCTGGGATCTTTTGGCTGGGAAAGAGCTACCAAAGCCAGGATCTGGCCCTTGGCCATTTTCTAGGGACTGCTCACAAATTCGGGCGTAAGCAGAGCAAATTATGAGGCACAAATTGGCTCAGGCTCTTGAAATACAAGTTTCCTGGTTTTAATGGGAGAGCCTAAATCCATGTGTATTCAGCTTTATTCTGGCCTTGCTTAATTCAGTGGCAATATTTTCTCAGCTTTAGAGATAGCGAGATTGGAAGCTCAGGAACTTCATAGTTGCTGTGAAGTAAATAGCTAATGAAATAACATCAGTTAATTTTAGGGGATGGAAGAAGAGAATCATTGTGGACCAAAATGACACAGGAATAAAATAAGAGATACTCTTARTACCTTGATCTCTTCTGAAGATTTTTACGTGGGCATGGTGAACATTGCAGTATTTAGATAACTATGTTGCTACTTCAAAATCTACCTATCTAGTATTGTGTGAAATCCAAAACCAATCTTTCTTAGAGATGATTAAATGTAATTTTATTAGAGAAAACAGGAAAAATACGTTGCTTCTAATTTCCCTCACCTCCACCCCCTTCCCCCAAGAAAAACATGGTTTCTGAAAGTGCTCATGTTGTGGAAAGATACAAATAAAAATACATGTTCCTCATTAAAACTAAATTATTGCTTAAAATGTTTTCTTTTTCTTCTGGCAGCTCCGTCCCCAATTGCATTGATCCAGGCTAAAGAGATAACAAGGCACAGCGTTGCCTTGGCTTGGCTGGAACCTGACAGGCCAAATGGAGTCATCCTGGAATATGAAGTCAAATACTATGAAAAGGTACTCTCAAAAATGGACAAGCAAGGAGTTCCCTCTGGGTTTGGGCACAGCTTTTTTACTTCATTCCACTGCAGTTTATTTCCAGATAGGATTCCATCATTTGAAACCAAATAGATTCAGTTTAATAAAATCCAATTAAGGATTTCATGCACTTGAATGGTTGCTTGAAAGAGTAAGACTTAYAGGCTGTTCCAGCTGTATGGCATGAGTTTATTTTGTTATTTCTTTCCTACCTAGAAACTGAGCTTTTATAGCAATCACATTTATAATAAGAGTCAATAATGTTGGGCAGAAGTGAGACATTAGCTTTACTTCATAGACAGAAGTATAATAATGAAGTATATAACAGAGTCATAATAATAAGATCTGTTTGCCAACAGCTTCTGCTTAGAGTGATAGTGTGRACTGGCTGGCTTTTAATAGAGAATAAGGAAAGAAAATTAGATTCTTCATACTTTCCAAGTTAGAGGGAGATGTTATTCCTTCAAATAACTTCTCAAATAGGGAATTATGAAAAGAGCTATTTTCTTTGAAGGCTCTCTGCAAAAATGAACAATTACCTGCTCTTGCCTGTGTGTGCTGTCTCTTGCATGCACACGCATACTCCTAATTTTTTTTTGTAAAGAAAATCGCTTGCTTTCCACATACAGAAAAAGGCATCTGGGAAAGGGAAAAAGAAGCTAGACATTTTCTGATACATTTTTCCAGCCAAAAATAGAACAATTTTTAATAAAGGACTTTCTGGAAGACATTTTTTAAGTCTTTTCCTTTTAAAAATGTTTTTATCATTTTTTTAATACTGCTTCTGGCTGGCAGGAAGAAAAAGAAAGTGCCAACATGTGTGAGTAAAAYGTGCTTGTTCATCAAGAGGATCCTATCTGAATATTTGGCTGTTTTCCAGAGGTTTTCATTGTGTGATTTCTTAAATAATCAGTGATATATGAGCATCATACCTACCGCCTCATCCTCCTTTTTTTGGCTTGCTCAGAGCTCCATGCAGCACTTGGTGCTGGGGCATTGAGCAAGGCCAGCAGCAGGAGCCCTCAGGATGTATTTTGAGAATGCCACGGCTGTTGCTCATCCTCTTTCATCAGGACAGTTTTGGCAAGGCAGTGTGGTTCCAGGTTCATGGTGCAGGGAGTCATTTTCACCCGGCATTTTCACCCCATCACCGCCGTGTTTCCTGTTGTTAGGACCAGAACGAGCGCAGCTATCGCATCGTGAAAACGGCCTCCAGGAACACSGACATCAAAGGGCTCAACCCCCTGACCTCCTACGTGTTCCACGTGCGGGCCAGGACAGCAGCAGGCTATGGGGACTTCAGCGGGCCCTTCGAGTTCACAACCAACACAGGTAAGGACATCCCTGCTGCATTCTTCAGCTTCTCCTCCAGTAGAGAGTCCATGGAGCTGGGCTGTGTGTGTGAGTTTCCTGTTGGGTGCTTGGGCTGTGGTGTGCCTGCTCTGGGGAAATGTCCTTCCATGGCCACGTGGCTGTCAGTGACACATTGAACCCGAGACATCTGTTTGGAGATGCTGAATTCTGGATTCTAGCAAGGACAGCGTTTCACTGTGGCATAAGGAAACAAGCACACCMTAAACTCTTGGAAGCCATTGATGCTTGGGAGATTTTGTTTCCTGTAAACGTAAATGTTTGCTCATTTCTGGAATAGTTTATTTCAAGAACAAAAGAACCTTAATACTCCCCTTTATGAGCTATTGACATAGATCACTTAGGTATCCTACATCAGCTGTCATATTTGCACTTTTCCTTAGACAGTCTATAAAGACAAGAATGCGCCAACTGCGTTGTCAGTAGAGCTTTTCACTTTTCTGAAGGAATCATGCAAATTTAGCCCCCAAAATGTTTGCTYTTGGTGGCAGAAAGGCACCGTGACCAAGCCTGTTTTATTTTGGACATACAGGTCTCCTTAAATCACATTAAGGTCATGCCAGTTAGTGGCAATATCATTCAGGATGTTAACAGCTGAAAACAATCCATCAGGAGGAGGGCAGACATTTTAAAATAACTCACTCTCTTAGTGTCAGCTGGGGAGTGATCATCTGGCCCCACTGAGAGGAAAACGAGGAGGAAAGAAGTGTGGAAAGCAATTAGAAAGCCAAAAAAAATTGTCATTATACCCTTTGAGCAGCACTGGAGGGGAGAAGGAGAGGGAGTCCTTGTTCCTGGTGAACTGCAGTGCCCCAAGTCATTATCAGACATCATGTCTTCAGCTCGTTAGCACCCTGTTGGAAAATTGCGCCAAATGACTATATAATAAAGGCCTGAAAGTAGATTCGAGTGCTACTCCAAACTGCCTCCCCAGCCAGAAAGCTCATTGAGTGCTACCTAGGTTGATTTTTTGAGGTTGTCTGATACTAATGCTCCCTTTTCTGTTTTCAGTTCCTTCCCCCATCATTGGCGATGGTACCAATCCCACAGTGCTTCTTGTTTCAGTGGCTGGCAGTGTTGTTCTTGTGGTCATTCTCATTGCAGCCTTTGTCATCAGCAGGAGGTAAGAACTTAAGCTTCTCTCTCCCTCTCTCTCTTTCATCAGGGAGCTTTTTGTCTCCTCCAAACAAAGCTAAATTCTTTGATTAGCATCATAAACAGTACATTTGCATTACAAGCCTTCTCCCATGTAGCTTTGATCTTCTCGACATTAGTACCAAGCAGCATGTGATGTAATGGCAATAGTTCCAGCTCTATTTGCCCTTCAAATGCAAAGCTGATTCCAATAACTGGTATTGAGAAGCAAGCCAGCTAGAGATTTGTGGTTAGTGTAATTTGAAGTTAAGTTTAATGGGTGTGGGTGCAGTGGATTTTCTTGGACTGACTCCTGATAGACAGGGAATGAACAACGGCACTTTTGTGAGCTAAGCCATCAGACTGCTAGGCTGGTGATTTTTGTGTTAGTCTGTGAGTCGGCATTAGTGTTTGGGGTTAGTCCTCCCCGTGTGAGGGGTTTGATGGTCATTCAGCATTAGATGCAGTAACTGGATCGATGGTTATTTCATCAATGCAGCACCATAATCTTCTACCAAGGGCTTGTTCATTCTCCCAGATTCAACCCAGGCATYGGGAACAATCCTGTGAGTGGGAGGACAGTGTAGCAGAAACACAGTGTGTTTCTGTCTTCCTCTTTGTGTTCAATCTCATTTAAAAAGATCAGCATGATCTTGCTTCAGTGTAATTTTGAGCTACAACTGATTGTATCATTACTGCTTCTGAAGCCTGGGATCTGAGGGATGCACATTTTGTCAGTCTCCGTTGGTCAGTTTAATGGCGTCAGCTGCAAATGTGTTCAAACTCCTCTTCATTTGCTCTCTTTAAATTGTCCTGGAGAGCAGTTAAGTGACTGTGATTTTAATATCTGGAAAGCAGACATGCATTGTGATCGCTTTCTGTGGGTGTTCAACTCAAAGCCTCCATGCTGGCAAGAGGAAAGAAGAGCAGAACATATGAAAATGTGATGTGGAGAGACAGGTTTATTAAAAGCCATTGCAACAGAAAATAGCATCACTGAGCTTGATGACTTAATCTCCTCTCCGCTTTTATTGATCACTTTATTATTTAAGGTAGGATTGATAGCAGGATACATTGGATTTCTAATTATGAGTCGCCACCTTGGAGAATTGAGCCTGTCGAGCTGCTTTGAGATGATTCCTTCCCCTCCTCCCCCTATAAAAAAATGTCTCTTCCCAAGGCTGATAAACACTGCTTGGTGATTGGCCCTCAATGGATCACTCTTTAGAAAATGAGCTGTCAGCCCCTTGCCCTGGTATTGATTGTCGTTAGGATCGGCCATAAAGCTGTCAGAGGAGAGGCTGCCTGGAGCCAGGTACTGACAGACCTGCTGGGCTCAGACAGCTCTGCTCAGGGCTGTCTGCTCCTTATCGCTGCCTGGGCTGTGCAGCTCACACAGACAGCACTGCAGAGCAGGTGGGCAGCAGGGACAAAGCCTGGCCCAGCCTCGGGTGGCACTGCAGATAAAACCATCCTGGTGGCCACGGGCTCAGGGATGTCCCTTGGTCCACACTGGTGACACTCAGAGAGGGAAAGAGAGCAAGATGAATGAAATACTAGGACAGTGAAACTGCTCTGTGCCTACCAATGCATGGTGCCTCTCTAATTAATAGCCCCCAATAGACAGCTCTCCAGTAGCTGGAAGTAGCTCTCAATAAACAGAATCTCCTTTAATATTCACTGTTACTCTAATGATTTTAACCACTATCACAGTGTCATTTAGAGGTGTGGACTTTRGGGATATTTCACGATGTTCCTGCGCCAGCAGAAGTTAATAGCAAAATAATTATACTTTGTTCCAAAATTACTTCAGATGAGAAAAAGCTTTTCTGTCCATACAGTCCCCGTGAGAAGGTTTTGTAATCTAGCCATGACCTAAAAGTCGTATTTGTACAATCAAACCTGTGCCTTGGCCTGCAGACACGGCCTCCCTGCCTCCCTGAGCCAAATGTGGGAACTGGGCATATGCCAGTGGGTGCCCACTTTTGAACGCTGGGTTATTACTGGTAATTTAGCATCACATTTTTTTTCAAGACATTATTCAAATCCCAGAATTAATCTTTACAGCAGAATTAGTCGAAGGACTTTGCCTTCAGGCAGCTCAAGCTGTTTGGTTCTGTCCTTRGACATGAGAACCAATCTGCCTAATGCTCGTTTAAACTTCCCGAGGTTTGGATGGGCACATCCATGGGGCAGCGGGCAGGAGATGGTGTGGGTGTTRCTAAACCCTGCTCTGCAGGAATGCTGAGGGAAATTACAGCATCTCCAAATCAGTTGTAAAGGATTCAGGGAAGTGTAAAACAGAGACACACCTTCCAAAAGGGCTTGCATGGAGTAAGGTGGTCTGACTGAATCCTCTGGTCACCTGGAAGCTTCTCTCAGAAATTCTCCCAGCTGATTTATTGATTTATCTTTGCTCTGCCGACGTATTTGCCCGCATTTTGCTGGTAGTTGTTGCCAGCCTGGTGCCTGAGCCCCCCAGGCCCTGTTTTGTTGGGAAGGAGGAGCTGKGAGCAGGGGCATAGCAGCCGGGTCCTGCTGTCTCACCCCAGTGCCTGCTAATTCCCCCACTGTTAACTCCTCTTCATCACCAGCCCCACCTGTAGCTCTGCCTGTCTCTGACCCCTGCAGTTCCTGAAAGCCTCTGTGTTCTTTTCCTGAATGCCGGCTCCTTAATCACCACTGCCAAAATCCCTGTAATTAGGGGATTCAGGGCTGTGACAAAGGCTCCCTTCTGCCACTCAGGTGAGCTGCCCCAGAGGCAGCCCCAGCCCCTGTGCCCTGGGCTCCTGGGCTGCTCTCCAGGACAATGGCACACAGCAGTGTCCTGCCCAAAGCCGGGCTGGAGAGGTCAACAGGTGACACAGGGAGAAGTGGAAGTAGGTAGTTAGTTTGGAAGGTATTATTTAAACTTAATAAGCTACAATTACATTGCTTGAACAGTAATCCCTTTGTTTCCCTTYGCTTTTTGCATGTCTTTGAGTTTTAGTGGGGGAAGGTTATTTTTTAATCTGTTGTTAGGGTGCTTGTACTTATTTTTAAAAATAAGATAAAGAGAATCTTTTTCATACTTAAAAWGCTTTCATGCAAAGTCTGTTTGCATTTTGTATTTCCCATCTGTGCCTGAACATTAATAAAATGAATTTGAAGGGTTCTGATTAAAATGCAGAATTTTTTTCCCCTCTTTTTCTTTCCTCTGAGAGGAGTTGTATAATATCTGAAACCATCTCTGCAGTCCCCTTAGCTGACCTGGTCCTGTGTGGCACTGGTGAAATTCGTGGTGCCTCTCCCTTACTCAGTTCAGCAGCTGGGAGCAGACCATCATCCCATTATTTAACTCAGCTCTGTTATGCCAGTGCTGTGAGTTCTGGAGCAAATCAATTGTTTAAATGGATGTTTGGATCCAGTGTGGATTTTAAWAATGCTCCTCTCAGGATTGGAGCCATTTGTGTTTAAGTTATTTGTGTCAAGAAGAGAAGCTCCCCAYGGTTTATGGTTGGATGCCTACCTGCTTTTCCTGTCTGAACCCAAGTCCTCTCAATGTTGGGAGTTGTGACACTTGGTTCAAAGATCAGGTTGTCTTCACATGTCAAACAGGATTTTTTCCTTCTGTTTAATGGGTTATTTATATTGTTTTTATTATTGGTGTAGTGTGTTATAGGAGCCAGCATCAGGACTGCAGAGGCAGAGGCTGGGAGGTGGCCTCCCCACTGGCAGCAGTGGGAAGCTGCCATTCCCCACAGGGCAGGTGCAGAGTGGGAGGTGAGAGGCTTTCTGCCAAGGGGCAGAGGGGTTTTGCTGACAGGAGAGGTATGGTAAGACTCAGGGAGATTTGCTGCAAGTGAGGCTCTCAGTTATGTCATTTCCTCCTGTTATCTGTGAGCTTTTTGACCCCTTTAAACTCACATCTTACAGGTCTTTGTTGCACCAGCTCCCATTTTCCTCTCCTTATTCCCYGTTTTCAGCCTCTTAACCCAGTCTGAGCCCAGTGTCCCTGGCAGGGCTGGCAGTCTCCTGCCCCACTCCAGGCAGCAGCTGCACATTGCTGGCAAGTGCCAGTCTTGCCTCCTGTTTTCCAGGCTCAGTTTCTCCTCCTGCCCTCCCTCTTCCCTCCACCCCAGCCTCTTGCCAGCCAGCTCTCCTGGGTCTGACACACTGGGAAGCTTGGACTTTGTAGGAACAGGAAAACTGAGAGTAAGCAACAGTAAGCCCTTCTCGTCAGCAGTGTCTATGCTTAGTCTTGGTTCTGAACATTCAAGGATGGATGGGTCAAAGTCCAAATGAATTCTCTGCATGTACACATCTCTAGATGCTGGGCAACTTCAAATCTCTACACATTTGGTTAAAGATATTAACTCTTCAATATCCTCCCTAACAGAGTCACTTCTTGTATTAGCTTTTTGTAGTGCTACTTGTCCATTGAAGCTTAAAGCTGAACTAATTAAAYACATAACTAGATTACAATATTACAGGTGTAGGTGTAGAGGTAATAATCTATAGAATAATTTACTCTGCTACATTATTGTCCCCAGCTTAGAGTGTTAGTAGAGGAKCTCTGCCATCAGGAGTTCTTAAGCCCCTTCAATTAAGCTGTGATTAAAAGAATAAGCAAAATTCTTGGGATCTTCATTTTTGATGGTCAGGGTTAGTGGATTTTCTGTTTTTTTCTGCTGAGCTCCTGCTTTCTGTGTTAAGAGACTTGTTTCCAGTTTTGTTTCTTTTTTTAAATTTGCAGTTAAACAAGTGTATTGATATTGGCATTTGCCTAATGAAGTTTGAAAATCAATCTACCAAAACACCTCTGTTGTAGCATTTAAATCCCTGTGTGGTAGGGCTGAAAAGCAATTTGGCCCCTCAACTAGCAAATGTAAGTTTGAAGAAAAAGCAGCTGCAACATGAACTCTTTTTTTTGCTTCCTTTAAATGCTGAGATGCAAATAGACGTTGTGTTTCCTCTGATGCACTGTTGATGCCAGTAACACGTAGAGGAGTGTGAGGATCCTCCTGCCCTGGTTGTGTGTTGTGTCAYGGCTCTGGCAGGTGCCAGCAGCTCAAGTCTCTGCAGGTCAGGATGAGTGAGATTGTTTGAGGGTGAAATCCTTATTTAGAGCTCACATGCTGTGTTTTGTTCTGACAGGCGCAGTAAGTACAGCAAGGCCAAGCAAGAGGCAGACGAGGAGAAACATTTGAACCAAGGTAAAAGGCCCTGGTGCTTGGGAGATTTGGGTTTGGGTTTGGGTTGCAAAACATGGCTCATGTTCTGGTGCTCAGGGAAGTAAGGGTTCACATTCCTCTCGAGGCAAATGTGTTTCTGGTTTCTTCTCTTGCAAACATCCTGCTTCCAAATTAGTTTCCTGTAGTAACATGGAAATTAGAAATATCTGGGTGAAGTGTTTTGAGGGTACAGAGAGGAAAAATGTTTATCAAATTTTTCCATTGTTAGTTGCCACTGAGAGGTGCCTGTTCTTGGCCACCTGATATCTAGGAAGGATTTTTCCCCACAGAACGCTGCTAAAGCAGTTTCTGAATGGGCCAGAGGCAATCCTGCAGGAAGGGGAATGTGAACTTTGCTGCCTTTTTTCTAGAACTGAATCCTGTTGTTTCTTCCATGTACCAAACCCAGGACCTGAGCTCAGAATTTCCTGGCTCCCATTGGGAAAAAGGGATGTGTTTTAGTCCCACAGGTCCATAACAGGCTATTGGCATGTTAGTGATGGCAGTGATTTGTGAAGCTCATTAACTGGCAAAAGCTTGATTCCTTACATCAATACTGGGAAATATTAAATGTTTATACTTTAAAATATTGCACTGGGGGGAAAAATACTGAAGTCCTTCCTTCCTTCATCAGTCATTCCTGGCTTACAGTACATTTTTATTGTAYACTCTCTTTGCTGTTGTATATCATTAAGGCTTCAGTCTCATATGTTCTGTGTTCAGCAGCATGTAGATCAGTGACTTCAAATAAAACATTTCTGCCTTGCAGGTGTTAGAACATATGTGGATCCTTTTACATATGAGGATCCAAACCAAGCTGTGAGGGAATTTGCCAAAGAAATTGATGCCTCCTGCATAAAGATTGAAAAAGTTATTGGTGTGGGTAAGTGCCAGAACTTTTGCATTTTCTTCTGTAAATAAACTTTTTAATTTGCTTTTAGGAAACGTGCGATCCTATGATTTTTGTATGACAGTTCTCCCAAATGCACTGACATAAAAGTTTGACAACACAAGTACATGCTTCATGTTCGTGACCATGGATTCTTGTGCCTTTTTCTTCCAGGGGAGTTTGGTGAAGTGTGCAGTGGACGTCTCAAAGTGCCAGGAAAAAGAGAGATCTGTGTTGCTATCAAGACTCTAAAAGCTGGTTACACTGATAAACAAAGGAGAGACTTCYTGAGTGAGGCCAGTATCATGGGACAATTTGACCACCCCAATATCATCCACTTGGAAGGTGTAGTTACTAAATGTAAGTAGGTCATTTTCATGACAAGTCCAATTTGGGAGTCATTGAGAAATTAAGTCTGTGTGGTGTGTGCTGGGTTTTTTTTCTCCTTCTTACCCTCCTTCCCGTAACATGACAGATGGAACAGATCCACTGATAGCTAATAGGAGGAAATCAGTGCAGGACAAGTCATTAATCTTGTTGTCAGCTATAAATGGGTTTACRGTTTCAACTGATACTCTATCTGTAGGCAGATTTTGTAGAGGGAATTAATACTGCAGGGGTTGGCTTTTTTTTTATCCCTTCTTGCTATGCCAGGCAGGCATCTTTCACATCTTTGCTAGACTGAGATGATTGTTACAGGATAGGCAAAAGCAGATGGTGAGCGAAGAATTCAAAATGATGGGGGGAAAAATACCAAAACAGAACTGCACAGTCATATGTTTAAAGTACAAAGCACAGATGTAAGGAGCAAGCCTTTGAAATGAAGTTGGCTATTTYAGGGTGAAACTTGCTTATTTGTTTTCTCTGATTTACAGGTGTGCTAGTTTCACTTCATAGAATTTACCTGGATGATCTTTTTGCTTGCTTGGTTTGGGGTTTTTCAAGTCTGTTAGTGTTCCCTGTGGCTTAGAAAGGGAATGACAGTGCTTGCTGGGCACTGTCTGTAGGCTAGAGCTGAAAATGCTGAAAGTGAGTGAAGTGCTTGGCTCTGACATGAGCAGGTGCCACTGCCATGTGTGGGCAYTGTGTCTGCTCCAGGTGCCCTGGGCAGTGCGTTGGCAAAGCCTGGCACTGATTGCTGATCCTAAAAGACCCTTAGGATGGTGGAGCTCATGCTCAGGGTAGCATAGAAAGCAGATCTTGTGAGCTGCTGTCAAAGAGTGGAATTTGTGAAGCTCACCTTCTGCAGCACGATGAACRTGAATGCAGGGTATTAATAGCAGGAGCAATTAAAAATTGAGACGGATAAAAAGGTAAAATGTAAAATATTACTAGAAAAACAAAGTACTTCTCATAGAGGGTTATCAAAAGCATCAGTTCCACTGTAAAACTCTGTCCCTCTTGAATGTCAGTGAGAGCTGATATTTACTCTGCCACTTTTGTTTCTGGAAATCTTACCCCTGCTCATTTGTGTTGCTGTCTCCTGGTCTGCCTTCTCAAAAGGACTCGTACAGTGTGTGGCAGTTTGCTTTTAAAGGCAAATAACAGTTTGGATTAATTTTGTACACCCTTTAGTGAGAGCCTCCCTCAAAACTAAAATTAAAATAAAGTGCTCTGTTTACATTTAAGAGGCCTGAGTGTCTCTCTCTGTGATTGTTGTAACAAAGAGGAGGAGGGTTGTGATCAGGCCACAGTGTTTGCCCCAGACAGCGATTCCTTTAGCACCTCAGCAAAAGAAAGGCAACAGGGGAATCTTTGTGTTGAAATCCCACTGAGGCTGGAAGCCCCTGAGCTGTTACAGCTCCAGCACTTATAAATGACCTCATTTGCATAATGCAGTTGTCAGTGAATTAAAATGATTTGGAATTTTCACCGAGGAGGTGGCGGCCTGACCCGGGAGTGCTCCATTCCTGGCTCCCAGTAAGTGATGCTCCGGCAGCAACCCGGCTCCGTTACCTCGAGTGGGCTCCTGGGGAAACAGGGCTACTTAAGAACACATTTATCTCAATTTCTCCATAGGTTTTCTGAATGCTGTGATAAATGAATGCATTTAATAAACTGAAAATTAAAATGTGAGATAAATAGTGGTATAGATGGGGGTTGAGAGAGGCAGCAAAAACCATGAATAAATTATTGGCTGCTAGTCAAGTACTTTAATAATTGACTCGCTGATGGTAACTTCTCCCTCCTCTCTCTATCCCCCCTCCCCTGCCAAAGAAGTGCCTGAGTAATGAAATTACATGTTAATGCACTGAAAGAGTCTCCCTTTTTTCCCTTCYACGTTGACATAGTATCTTTTGATTGAGGAAGGTTAATTAATACTCATTTAGCYGTATTTGTTCAGTGGAAGGGTTACTCTCACAGTCGCAAAGGATAAATGAAACAGGACCATATGCAGATTTGGTTGAAATTTTTCCTGTTTTTGCCAAAGAATGCWTGCAAAGGTGAATTAGAGGGAGGATGATGTTTTCTCACACCCTTTTACTTAAGGATGTGCTCAGCCAAGGTCACTAAGCCCTTCATCCAGAGCAGTGTGCTTTATGCAATACCATTGCTTCTCTGCAGCATTCAGTAATGGCATTTCACAGGTATGCCAGCTTGCATGGGACCAAAACAGCAAGAATTTGGATATCAGCRGGGAAGGGAAGTAAAAGCAGGAGCAGCAAAAGGTCTGCAAAAGATTGCTTGGGACCGGAAAGGTGAAATAACTAATGATGAGTGAAATAAGTGATGTATTGCACATAGATGTTGGCCTAAGTGAAATGTGGTAAAATGTTCTTAMACTCAGTCCCTATAGCATATGGTTTTGTAATTAAAAAAAGGTTACTTCAGAACCAGAAATCCCTGACAAATGAAGAGAAAAGCATCTTGGTGAAAGATGCACTGAAGTAGAAATTATTAGGGGAACTTGAAATGCTGCAACATTTCACGGTAGGGTAATTTTTAGAGATGGTTGTTCTGGAGCAAATACTTGCTGGTGACAGAAGCAAGGAAAAATTAAGTAGTTGTGTTACCTCTCATGCCAAGACACAGCTGAGCTAGCTACAGTCTAAATGACCTGGCCATTGAAGCCTTCCTTCCCTGTAATAKTCCTTTATTCAGAGCTGCTCCAGGAAGGAAAAGTTGATTTTCTCTGGGATGGCATCCTTTATTTAGGAAGAAAACTCTATATAGTTCCTGTAAGTAAAGCATAAGAGAGAGGAAGGTTTGCCATACAGTGGTGATTGTCAGATGCTCAACAGCGTTCATCTTGGGRCTGGACTTCTGCCATTTGATAAATCACTTCTGTACTTCTCCCATTGCTCAGTTTTGAGATGTTATTAGACCTATTTCTACAAATCCTACTGCCAAACATGCAGTAGGACTTAACTCTGTGAAATAATTACTGTTCCTTGTGTGTACCTAAAGTTTCAGCACTGCATGACTTTTATAAAACTTTTAAAGACAAGATCAAGCATTATTTTTGTGTGTTTGCTGTTGTTTTAGGCAGGAGGGTGCCTAGAAAGCATCTCCCTGTCAGTAACACTGCATTTCTCCTCAGGTTGCCCAGCTTGGCCCCTGTTGCAATGGGGAGCTGCTGAGCTCTGTGCCCCACGTGTGACACGGGGCACGAATCATTTCACCCCTGGTTGACTTCAGCAGGCAAATGGCTTTGGCTCATTTATAAGTAACGAGAAACACGGAATATGGATTTGGAACATAGAAGGTTGAGAGGAACAGCCTTTATTTTTCATTCCTGAATCCAGTTGTCTTCAAATACTTTGTATCATCTGGCAGCTTCTAACTCGCCTAAAGCCTTGATCTTTCAAAAAAGGGCAGAGACCAAAGCATTCACAAATTCCATTTTTCTACTCTGCGACCGATTTAATTACACTAAAGATTTTTGTCAGGTTTGGACARATCTTTGTTCCTTAGTTCTCAATTATCCATTCATATATTCCCTAGAGAACAGGAGCCACTTGAGTTAAAGACCTTGTCAATGAGTCAGCCAAAGGGTTAACCTTCCAGATGGGCCCTTTAAATGTTTCTGTCCTATAATATTTCATCTTTTGCTCCCMACAGCTGAGGCATAAGCTCGGTGCTTTTCAAATTAAATTAGATTGTGTAAGCCAGGTGTCTTGGCAGTAAAATCATGTGCAAGCCATTTTTATCCCATTAACATTGGTGTTCATCAAGGAATTGTGTTTTTCTTTCTGTGCACTCTAGGTAAACCGGTCATGATCATAACTGAGTACATGGAGAATGGCTCCTTGGATGCTTTCCTCAGGGTAGGTGATTTCTTCAAAAGCTAAGGGGATTTTATACTGGGAAATATTTTTTGGTTTCCTTCTTTTTTATTTTCAGAAAGATACTGAAACTTGCACAGTTTTAAAGAAATTATGTTTGTACTTGGAAAATTCTGTTTTCTAGTGTTGGTTCTGTCAAAAACCAGAATAAATATAAAGTGGAAGRATATGGAATAAATTAGTCTTTAAAATAGCAGGATCTTAAATAATCCATGTTTAATGTGAACAGTTTTGACTTGCTCCATTTTTGAAAGCATTGCASTGCTGTAGACTCATTAAAATCAGATTCATTGCAAACTGAATACTGCATCACTGAAAGCTGTGACAGAAAACCTCTGGGTTTTTGCTTTCCTGGTGATTTACAGACACTKGTTGGTAGAGTGAGGAAATAACATTGCATTTTATTTGAGAGAAGATGGGAATGCGCAGCTCTGCTCTTCGCCAATTTCAGCAGCGCAATAAGGCAGCTTTTGGCTCAATGCTCWGTGMTGTTGCTCCTTTCCCACMYGCAGAAGAACGACGGCAGRTTCACGGTGATCCAGCTGGTGGGGATGCTCCGCGGCATYGGCTCGGGGATGAAGTACCTGTCTGACATGAGCTACGTGCACCGCGATCTGGCTGCTCGCAACATTCTGGTCAACAGCAACCTGGTGTGCAAAGTGTCTGATTTCGGCATGTCCCGCGTGCTGGAGGATGACCCTGAGGCAGCTTACACCACACGGGTAAGGAGGGAAGGGAAACGGCCACCTTGTCGTGCCTGCATGTTGGTTTTGTCTGACTGTGTGGGAGGTGACAGTGGTTTGTTTTAAAATAGTCTCAGTCACAAGTGAAAACCTAAATCACAACCTAAAAGTAAACATTGGCCCACACTCCGTAGCTGCTATAAATTGATGTGCTGTTACTGCTWCAGCAGTGGCCACAGCAGTATTTCTTCTGAGGATATGACCCACGTGCTCCTCTCGTTCCTTCATCGTGGTAGAGCACGTGACAGGAATCTGATGCCAGAAATTAGAGTCTGAACTGTTCCTTCTGATATCTACAAGTGTGCTTTCTAAGTTGCAGCATATGTAGACACACCACCTTCTATTAAAAAAATAATTTTGCCCATCCCAGTCATGAATTTGACCTAAATAATTTGGACTTGGAAAAGTGTTAGGCCTGCATTCCCATTTTTTGTTTCTTTCCCATTTTATCTGTATTTCAGCATCCCACTGTTAGGTGATTTTGCTAAAGTAATTTTAATATGCTGCTCATGGCATAGGGCTAATACAACTTTGGGCCACAAAACAACATCCCAGCCATTACCAGCCTTTGTACCAATACCTCTGATAGCAACGTGCTTGTAAAGAAAAAAATGTCAATTTAGAAAGTCTYCTTTTTTAATTGCTTATTTTCTTCGTTTTTAAATCTCTGCCATTCTCCATCTGTTCTCCCTGGTGCTGAGTTTGTTTGCAGCATTCAGATCTTGCCATTTAATCCCAACACTCATACTTTAATGGATTCACAGCTCGTTACAGGGAAGGATAGACTCATGTAGTATTAAATGCTGGCCAGCCTTGGTATCTCTCACTCGTAAGGGTGGCAAGTGGAAGGGGCAGAGGTCTGAAAAGCTGTGTTCAGGGAAATCAGAGTTTAGACAAGCACATAAGGGCAAGGCAGAAATGACTGAAAAGCTTCTCTTTGAATTTAGCAAGTGGAGATATGGTATTGTTGGCTCTCAGGAGTAAACTAGAGAGAATCAATGACATTTGCTTTACTGTCATTGTCTTCATTTGGTATCAGTAATGAAGGATCAGGAAAATTTGGATTAACTCCACTGTGCTGAAGCAGCTAAATATAAAGAGCTTATTGACAATTTTTTAGAATGACAACCCTGTACAAACAATGTTGGTGCATCTGTGTCTGAAAGGAGGAATAAAGCTTTTGCATAAACAGAGAGGATGCAACAGAAAGCAATTTTTAAAGCAACCTTTTTTAAGAGAATATGTGTTCTGTTTCTGCTAGTAGCGTAACTCATTAAAGTGAGAGCATCCCATGGTCACACAAGGCACATATTGCCACAACCTGATTCACAAAGGGCCTGATGCAAAGGCTGAAGCAGCTTGGAGAAGGATTTTGATTTCCCTTGGCTTTGGAACCAGTCCATATTAAACACTTGAGAGATATAGTAGAACAATATACCATTAAGTATGCACACACTGCACTCAGTTATGGATAAAAGCTATCTTGGAGATGGCTGGGAAAAAAAACACCAAAATAAACTTAATCAAAAAAGCATAAAAGCAAATGAAAAAAAAAAAAACGAAAACCTTTGTTCAGCTTAAGTCATTCCCCAGATGGAACTGCAGGAAACCAAAAGCTCAATTAAAAACACCTTGCATATTAGCATAAACAAAAGGAGAAATCTCTGGCCTGGGATCACTCAGCTAAGGCAAAATCAGATAAACAGGATGGAATGAGTTCCTTTTTAAAGAGTGTAGGATCTCAGTGGCCCAAATCAGATGCCCAAGTGTTTTTATTTGTTTAAAAAGAAGTATTGTAAGAAGAGGCAGCTCTCTCCCAACAGGTATATCAAAAGCAGCCTTGTACCATGGTCTCCTGTTGAGCTCCTCCCCTGGATCTGGGAGAGCCTAGAGGCTTGCTTGCCCTCTCATATCTCTGGTGGGAGTTGGGATATTGCCCATGGGAAACACCGCTGTGTTCATAAAACTTCCCAGTTTATCCTCTCTTTATTTTACCTTATTGAAAAGCAAAACGTTTATAATCCCATTTTTCTGAAACAGGCCAAACAGGTCAGACAGGCAAGCAAGGAAATAGTAATTAACAGCATGTACTTATTTGTTTTGTCAACTAAATCTCTAATATATACTTTGTAAAACCCCTGGATTGTTCTCAGGCTTCAGCATAGCCCTAAGCAGAGATCTCTTGGAGGGCTGATAAAAATACATTTAACAATTTACTGGTTCGCCTCCTTGTGACTAAAGAAAACAGATGGGCAGCATTGCCTCCTGGTCGGCTCTGACAGCTTTATGGCAAGCAGCAGAGAGAGTGGATGCCTTTTTAAAGAAGGGTTCTGGAGCCGCACGCACAAAACCATTTTGCGWTTTGCACGTGTGGAGCGGTGTCAGCCCCGCGCAGTGCTGCCCGTGACTCACCAGCCCGTGGCTCTCTCCTCGTGCAGGGTGGCAAGATCCCCATCAGGTGGACGGCTCCYGAGGCCATCGCCTACCGCAAGTTCACCTCGGCCAGCGACGTCTGGAGCTACGGCATCGTCATGTGGGAAGTGATGTCCTACGGGGAGAGGCCTTACTGGGACATGTCCAACCAAGATGTGAGTCCCCTGCTGAGCTTCCTCCTCCCTTCCTCCCTCCCCATCCCCTTAGATGCCTGTGATGTGTTTCTGTGGCAATTGCTGTATGGTTATAAGACATTTATTCCATGTTTTTATAAGGATATCATGGATAGTAGAGGCTTGTTTTCTCAGGGAACATCTAATTCCTATTCCTTGAATACTTCAAGCTTCATCTGAGGTCATGGAATAGGGGATTCTCAAGTTAGGGTCTATACCATGTGCATGGGGTTTATTTGGTTTTGGTTTTCTAATTAAAATATAAGCAATTAAAGAAAAATGGAGGAAAGGGAAACTAATCTATTTAAACTGTCAGGTCATAATACTGTCAAGAGAAGGAAGGTTTGAATGTTCATATTAAATCTTGATTTTATTGAATGTCTTTAAGAGAAAAACACTTGAATTTAATTGGGCTTCCTATTGGTAGTTAATTCTTGAAGCTCCACTGTGCTTGTAACTCTTCCAGGTGATTTTATTTTTTGTAGGATATCTAAATCAACACATAGGAAATCCAATTCTGATTATCAGTCAGAGCATCCTTATGACAATGGCATAGATGCCCCCTGAGGGCATTAAAAAGCAGCTTTTGTAAATGACCATTCTTAAATTATGCATGTCCTGTTTAACCGTACCATCTGGACTACTTCAGCATGTTCCAAGAGGGACTGTGCACAATGGCTGCTGTTCCAGAAGAGTATTTAATAATAATGCTAATAAGAGCCTTTGCTAATAGAATTTTTATTAAATGGGGAAAAAAAAATCCCAGCGAAAATGAGGCCTAGATTATCCATAATTCTTTTCCCAGGGGATTTACAAGCAYATAAAGGAAGAAGAAAATGGTAATCTGAATATACGGCCATGGGAGTGGTTAAGGCGTTTTACAAGTCATCTGCTTTCTTCTGTAGAGCTGAACGTTTTCAAAGAGTGTCTAGATGCGGATGGCATTTAGTCTAAATGGGGGATATAATTTTAATTTCCTTCTGATGTGAAATGTCTCTTCTGGCACCCAATCTTGCCTTCCTTTTGCTAACAGGAAGTCATCAAGACTTAGCAAGAAAATAAAACGCCAGATGTGTCTCGGTTATATCAGGCGTGTCTGCGCAGCACAGTGGAGCTCACTGCAACAAGCAGAGCTGTTTTTATTAGAGCTGTTTATGTTAGGCTGGTGTTCACTGCTGGGCCATGTTGAAAAGCTGGCTTGAACAAGGCAGGGAAAGCCAATATTACTGTCTCTGCACWCTCTTCACAGTACACGGCATAAATGTGCTTTTTCTTCCCCCAAATTATGGCAAGAGCAGTGCTTCTCCTGCTAACAAAGCAGAAGTGGATTTCAGATTATACTCAGTGTCCATTGGATCCAGAGAAATCAAAAGGATCTTCATGCTTTCTGCAGCAGTGAGAGCCACTTTGTTTGTGGTCACCTAATAGCTGTTAATGATGCAAGCATATCCCTCACCACCGTGTCCTCCCAGTGGATTTTAGCTGCTAATTGGACAAGTCCAGAAGGAGGAATTTAGTGCAACTCAGTCTCTGRGCACTCCTGGTCTCCAGTCTCATGGTGTGTCCTGCCAGCAGTGTCCTATCGATTAATTCAGATCTGAAGGCTCCTGGGTCATGTCCCTGTCAWGTCAGAATTGAGTTCTGGTCATGTCCCGTTCTCTTGAGAGAGTTAAGAGGCTGTTAGAGCCTCTGGAGTGCTTTCTGGGGGGTTTGAAGTGACTTAGTCCAAGTTCCTCTGGATTCTGTTAAATTTGAAATACATACTTAATTTATGCTGGATTTCTGCATTTCTTGGCTCAGAGCATAGAGCAGWGAGGGAACAGATTCTCTACAAGGTCTCTATTTCTGACGAGATAAGCTAGCCCAGGAGGACAGTGGAAAGGGGTGATCCTGCCATACCTTGAAAACGATGGGGAAAATAGTCTCAACATATTGCCCCCCAAACTGACAGACAGTAAAGACTACTACCCTTTTGGTTTTGAATTGCTGGGGAGAAACAGTTCCGAGACCACCGAGTGCAGTTTTCCRTGTTGTATCACTTCACTGGGTTTGTCACCGCAGTCTGCATGGCCCTAGGATCCAGTGTGCTCAGCTGGCGGCTGTGAGCTGTGTCTGATGTTCTCTAATGCGTTGCTAATTGTGCCATTTGCAGGTGATTAAAGCCATCGAGGAAGGGTACCGGCTGCCCCCGCCCATGGACTGCCCCATCGCCCTGCACCAGCTGATGCTGGACTGCTGGCAGAAGGAGCGCAGCGACCGGCCCAAATTCGGACAAATCGTCAACATGCTGGACAAGCTGATCCGCAACCCCAACAGCCTGAAGCGGACGGGCAGCGAGAGCTCCAGGTCAGCTGTGCTCTAATGGTGACAAAAGAGGGAGCACAGAGCAGTGACAGGCACGGTTGAGGTGACACCGCTCTGCAGCACAGCCCACTCTGCAGGCTCAGCTCAGCCCCCGGGGCTCCCAGCCCTGCCAGGAGGAAAGGGGAATGAGCAGAGTGCTGCTGGATCACACTAACGCTGAGCAAGTTCACAGCACAGCCTTAAGCACGCCCTGATGCAGGCAAGCTCTGTTGGAAGGCAAAGTTTGYTGCATCTTTCCCTTCTTTTCCCCCCTGGTGAAAGGGCTTGAGCGGGTAGGGTCACCTCAGTCAGAGCAGCTAGCAGCAGTGATGTGGTTTTCTGCAGGAAAAGCACATCATCAAGTTTTATAAACCCTAGATTTGTGTAGGATTTGCAGATGAGCATTACAGCGTTACAGCCAACGCCTCGCGGGCATTGGGAAGGTGTGGATTAATTTTTATGTGAATTTGAATTTAATTTTGTGGAAAGCCAGTTTCATGTCTCCACCGATCCCGATTGCATTTGTTTTGTTTGCTAAGCATGGCGTACCTGGTACGTGCAAGAGAAGTGCAGCAGGAAGGAAACTCCCAGAGTTGTARAGCAAAACCAAAATATCTTTGTTGGGACAGATCAGCAGTTTGTTTAAGCTGGTGAAACACCGCTGAAGTAATAGGCACTTTATTAATCTGCTGTAGCTTTGGTCTGGTTTTTTTTCAAATGTCTTTGCTTTGTCAGGTAGGTTTGCTTACAGCAAATATGGAAAAAAAAAGCTTAAAAGAAATGAGGAAGACAATCAGAAAAATGTTTTTAAGTGGGAGGAAAGGTACAAAAATATTAGGCAATGCAAAATCAGGTTTCTTGAATCAACAGAACAACATCCTTTTTTAAACTTGTATGTCCSTTTGTGAGTCTTGCTTACAATGTATGTCACTAGAAGAGGGATCATTAAGCCTGTGAGGCCACTATCACCACGTCTTCCAGATTGCCTTAATTGCATTGGGAGGCTGGCAAAAATGTATCCTCCCTTGAGGCTTAAATAATTTACGTGGTGAGAATCACAATATGATCTGCTGTGATAATTTGATTGAAGAATCACAGTATGAACTCCTCCATTTTGCTTCCTTTTCAATTTGCAGGTGCTCTTTGAAAATATATAGATTTTACAATAGTTACAACATGTTCAAGGTCACTCTGTGTGTGTGTATAAGTTAACAGCCTGCTCAAGGTCGTTTCATGTTCATGGCTGTTGATAAATATTTTTCTAGTCTTCAGAATATGAATTTCAAATATGCATATATCTAATATATGACTTTATACATGAAGCATAATTATATATAAATAGGTTGCTATCATTGGTCTTGTGTTAGATAGTGCAGTAAAAGGGTTGAACCAAATATTACCACTGTGTAYTCAGTGCCTCAGGCAGGACCTAACCGTGCTGTTGCACACCTAGTCTTTGATGATGTGCATTTTCAAATGAATTGCTAAATGATAATTGTTTTGATTAGATAGATAGTAATTTATAACGCTTTAATGAAACTGTGACTTATGATATACATGAAGTGCTAAATGCAATATTAATAAGAAAAAAGTGTTGTAAAAGTAATTATTGGCACAAGCGTGCAAGGGAAAATGAGAAGCACATTCCGCAGTGCAAACAAAGATCAAAGCCCGTGTGATTCCTGTCACTCCTGGCACACACTCMGGTCAGGAATGGATTGATTAAAGAGGGGATTAACTCCCTGCTGTCCTGAGTTTGATTGAATGCACTGAGCAGACCTGGCTAGAAACTGGAGTTATCTGAACCCGCCCTGAGTTTTACCCTCCAAACCAGTCTGGCAGGGTGTGGGCTCCCAGTTCTTTGCACATACTTCAGCAGTGTTTCTATAGCTGCAGAGCTGAGGCCTGACACATGCAGCCTTGGCAAGGTCTGGCATTGCTGCCCCTGAGATACAGACCCAGCAGGCTGAACGCCTTCCAGCATTGCCATCTTCTTTGTTTTGGGGAGTAAAAGCATTTTCTGTGAACTTGGTTGCATCTGAGGTTGACATTGGGAGCGGCATTGTGGTTCCAATTAGATCTCAAAGCAAAAATAGAAACCTCAGGTCAAATTCATCCTCAGCAAAATCTGGCCTGTTGCTTTGCATTTGGTTTTGTGCCTTGATCTGAGTTGATGTGCAGAGCCACCGGTTTCACTGGGCACAGCCTCTGGCCCTYGCTTTCCCTCATCATTGAGGGTAATTGTTGCAGAGACCAAACTTTGGTTTGTGGTTCATGATGCAGCTGACACCGTTCCTCTGTCCTTTCACTGTTTGGCATCCAGGCCCAGCACAGCCCTGCTGGATCCCAGCTCCCCCGAGTTCTCGGCRGTTGTTTCTGTCAGTGACTGGCTCCAAGCCATGAAAATGGAGCGATACAAGGATAACTTCACAGCTGCTGGCTATACCACCCTAGAGGCTGTGGTGCATATGAACCAGGAGTAAGTACTCAGCGATATAACAAAAAAACTGGTAAATCTGGATTTAATCAGCCTCTTTTGCTTTGTGCTGCATATCATTACACTCATTAAAGGAATGGAATGCCTTTCATTTGGATGGAGGATAACTTTAAAATGCCTCCACAATGCCTCCACTTATTTAATTAAACATTTCTGTACATCTGCCTCTCTTTTGCTAATGCTGCTTGCGGTTGACTGTTAATATTTTTCTCTGCACCAGCATATGATCCATGGTTCTCAGCCCCTCGTTGTTCTCTTGCTTTCCCCAGGGATCTGGCCAGGATCGGGATCACAGCCCTGGCTCACCAGAACAAGATCCTAAACAGTGTCCAAGCGATGCGCACCCAAATGCAACAGATGCACGGCAGGATGGTTCCCGTCTGAGCCAGCACTGAACGAACTCAAAACTCTTGAAATTAGTTTACCTCATCCATGCACTTTAATTGAAGAACTGCACTTTTTTTACTTCGTCTCCTCGCCCGTCGAAATAAAGATCTGCAGCATTGCTTGTTGTACAGATTGCGGAAGCCAAGCGTGTGTGTTGGGAGGGGGCCCTCCAGAAATGACAAGCCGTCATTTGAAACCAGACCTGGAACAAATTGTTTCTTGGAACATAACTTCTCTGTTGATCAACGATATGTAAAATACATGTATCTATATAAATATAAAGTCACGTTTGAGTTTTGATGCTATGTTTGCTGCCAGATACTGTGCTTAAAAAACAACAGCGTTACTTTCCTTCTCCCTGTGACCTGTAGGATTACAACCATAGTGTTTTATTTGTGGGTGAAACCACCGTTGTGCATCTTTCACTGGAATGAAGAGCCTGCCCTAGGATATTTTTTTGCAGACTTGATGCATCACTAACACCTCGCAGAAACCTCATTGAGAATATCATGTGGCTAATCAGTGCCTGCCAATTAGTGATCTACCCATTTATGGGCTTGAGACATGAAGTGACCCATCTTGTGGATTACTGGGCAGAACTGAACTTCTGGGGAGGTTCTTGGCTGTGGTGCCGTGCTGAAGCCTACCACTGAAAGACATTTGTGACCATCATGCCAGTAGCCAGCTGTGACAATCGTGGCTGTGGAGCTTTCAGACTTCTTTTCTCTTTCAAGAAACTATTCCCTTTGCCTCACGGAAGGTCAGTGGAAGTACGGCGTCCAACATGTTCGTGGTGCTTTGTTTTGTAAACTCTGCTGGCATTTCATCATTGTTGGGGGAAAATAAAAAATGCTGTGGTATGTATTATTTGGGGCTCCCAACTGGTTTGTAAGAACCTGTGCTGGTTTCCCAGACTAATTGCTGAGCCTTTCCCATTGTTTGGCCTATTTGATGACAGTGAAAATTGCACTGTCTCAAATTGCTCTCAAGCTGTTGCCTGTGAGGGTGTGCAGACAAGGTGTAGGAGTTTGTTGGGGCTCAGCTCAGYGCTGAGACACCTTTACCCCAATTTACACTGAGAGCAGTGGGGATGCCCTTATATTTTGGRTGGTAAACTCAACACATATGGATCCCATAGAAAGCGAGAATAACCTTGTAAAGTACAGACACTCATAAATGCTTGAGGAAGAACCACGAGGGTGCTGTTCACCCTCATGAACAGCAGTATGATGTCTGGGTTTTAGAAAGATCAGTTTCAATTGTGATGTCAGTGATTTCGTGGGAAGGGGAGCAGAAGGAAATGGCACTGTGCATGCTGCCTTGCTGGTTTTTTGCAGTGTGGGTGTCAGGCATGGTGGCAGCTCTGTGCAGTGGAGCAGTGTGGCAGTCAGGCACTGTGATCCAGCTGGCTCAGCTGTGGGAACCARATCCACTTTGGAAAGCAGCCCTGCACCGTGGGTGAGGGATTGTCAGGGCAGCTGTGGGTGTGAGTGCCAGCTGCAGAGTGCACAGCTGGGGCCTGGCACCCCTCTGCRGGCATGGCCAACAGGATGGAGCATGGAAAAGCTGCCCTCTGCCTCMTCCAGAGAACAGATGGAGTGAGGGAAAGCCTCCCCTGGAGGAGACTGCTATGGCAGTGTTGCTGTCCTCAGTCAGTCACAGAGGTTAAAGCTTTATCCAGCAAAGCTCTGAACACACTGAGGCTTGAATTTATTTATAATAAAGCTTTTATTGCTCTTTTTGAACAGAGTATGTAAGTTAGATTTCTTTAAAGTCCTTCTGAGGACCAAAGTGATGAGATGACCTTAGAAAAAAGATGGGCCACTTACTGTGTGCTGAGTAGGAGGAGGATTTTCATGACATGTCCTTTAGAACTGACATTGCATTTCAGCTGTGCCAGGCAGTGTCAGAAAGGTGAGATTTATAGTTTAATGGCACTAAGACTGCTTCTTTAGTCTATAATATTTTGGTCCTACTCCACACCTGACAGCAAATTCAGAAACGATTTAGTGGCTTTATATGTCAGACTTTTTTAATAATTGAGTTTATCCTAAATCCAAAACAGTTCGCTCAGCTGGACAAATCTCACAWACTGTATTGTCACTCACATCACTTCTTGTCACTTTTAACAATAACTTGCTGATTTTAACCACTAACTCTCCCTCACTCCCAACTTTCTCAGAGAACAACTTGTTCTGAATATGAGATGCTAAATTTGGATCCTGTCAAGTCATGACAGCTCAGTATAAACTGTTCTGCAGCATTACTTATAAAAGCTTTTCCATTTCAAGAAATCTAAGATTTCTTTAAAAAATCTACTTAAACCAGCATGTTTTAATGTCGCTTTGCCAGGCAACATAAGAAGTAGTTACTCATTTTAAAGACCTGACATTTGTACTTTCAGCAGGAAAAATTCTTCTGCATCTCAAGTGCAGAGATACTCGAGGTTTCTTTGCTGTAAATCTGTTTCGTTCTGTTGAGATCATCTTTTTATCTAAAACCAAAATACACCCAGTTTTCTGGCCAGTTTGTTAAATTGCTGTCTTGGAGTCTAGTGGTGGTAATTCAAAACAGTGCAATATTTTCCACACAAAATGGAAAACTGTGTCCCTATAGAATGAAAACTGTGAAGGCAGCTCAGATGCTGGGTTTTCAGCACTGCCACTGCTGGTTGTTTCCTGTGATAAAATATGGCCAATGAGGGGCATCCACTGGAATGTGATTTTAGCTGGAAGAGAGCAGATGGAAGAAAAAAAAGAGGTGGCACATGTAAATATAGATAAATTGATTGATTGATTGATTGATTATGTCTGTAGTTAAGGGATGCCATGGCAGCAAGACTTTGAAATAGTGAGGGAAGGAGGAAAAGCAAGAAAGGCAGAGGGTTCCCACCCATTGAGCGCTTCTATTCGGGCAGGTCTGTGTGTTGTCTTGGAGCTCATGGTTCAATACATTTCATCTGAGTTCTCCTTTTGTGCAGGGAAATTGGATTTTGCTTTCACGGCCTCGTAGCCCGTCCTGTTGCTCACATTGACCATGGAGAAACACAGACCAGACACGAAGCCTTCTGGATCCACGGCTGCGTCTTCCATAGCACTGATCCTGGGAAACACATGCTGAGCAGTCATCAGTCCCCCAAGAGAGTGTGACTTTTACTTTCTCTTTTTTTTTTCCTGGGCCACCCACTCCGTTGATTTTCTCTGTCGAGCGATAACTAACTCGTTAAGACTCAGCACCCAGTTGTCACTTAAGGAATGTACTGTGTCAAAGCCCTACAGACTTCTGGATGATTTTTTTTTCCTCCTCTTCTGCTTTCTCTGCCTACCTTTGGTTTTATTTATATATTTGGTTGTTGTCTCTCCTCATCCCCTGGCTGTCACTGCTGCATCCCGGACGAATGCAGGTGACAGAGCACTACACATCTTCCCATGGACGCCAGGCCAGGTGCCACAGCAAAAAACCCAGTTCCTGTSAGCTGCCTGTGTACATTGCCGAAGTGACATTTTACACTAAAGGTGCCATTGCAGTGATATAAATATATTTTTTTTCCCTTGAATGGATAATGGATTATTATCTCCTCCGAAAGGTGCGTACGTGTGTGCTTGTGTCTGCGTGCGAGTCACCTCGTGTGTAGAACTGCTGTGAACGTGCCCCAAGCACCTCTGCAAGCACAGGAGTCCCCTGTCCCATGAGACCAGGCCCAGAGCTCGTGTCTCAAATGGTAGCAAGAACATACACATTAAAAAATGTTTGAATTTCTGTATCTGTAAGTGTATTTTTTAGCTGCCACAATAATGTCATTGAGTAGCTCCACTGCCTGAAASAGTTTCAAGTTAGTTTTGGAGTTACTGATCCTGGGATCTGAAGGGTGCTAAAGGTTTTTGTTAAGTGTTGTTTATTCGTACTGGTGCCCTGTTCATGACCAAGACCAAGGTGATGGAGGCAACACCTGCATCTCCATCCACTGGTRATCCTGAACTGAATTCTTACGTAGCCTTTTTTACCTGCAAAAAGAGGATTTTAAAGACTTGTTGAATGCTGACAAATATATGCAATTCTTCCATTCACAGAAGCACCTCRCTCTGTGTGCAAGCTGTGAAATCTTGCAACGTAATAATCAGAACACTTCCCTGGTTCCCAGCACAGTAAAGGAACAAAAATGCAGCAAGAACTGTAAAGTTAGAATAGTTAGCAAGGGAGTTGTGAAGTGTGCGCTGTTCCTTGTGCAGGTGATGAAGAGCAGGGGAAGTGCAGCAGAAGACACTCTCTTCTCCACAGCCCGAGGAGCAGTGCTGCAGTGTGCTGGTGCTGCTGGGAGAGTTTTGTGTGTTTGGAGAATTCACCTCAGTGTGGTGTGGGGCAGCTGAGAGGAGCTGAGCGCTCACACAGGGCACACAGGGCCACGAGTGCCTGGCTGGAGCAGGGGAGGTGCTCCCCATGGGCTCCCATGTGCTCCCCACATCCTCCCTGCCCTGGGATAGGGGCTTGCTCTGGCACCCATGGCTCAGTTTGGACACACAGCCTGGCCCAGAGCTGTCCCATGGTGTCCTATTTCCTTTTGTCCCTCCTCACTGACCCTCTGTGGTCACTCTGCCTGTCCCCAGCAGGGCCTGGAGGGGAGCGAGGGGAGCTGTGCTGAGGCTGGGCATGGCAGGGCACCAAGAGGTGGCATGGGTGGCCACAGATTGGGCCACCACAGACACAGACTGGGCCACCACAGACACAGACTGGGCCACCACAGACACAGACTGGGCCACCACGGGCTGCTCCAGACAGAAGGCAAGTGCCACCACCAGCCCGTCCCCCACGACAAGTGTGTTCAGTCCTGCTCACACACCACTGGTTGATGTTTGTCTGGGTTTCTTGCTGTGCTAATTTTGTGATGGATCTTATGTATTAAAAATATATATGTATAAAATACAGAAAAAGCTGGTAAGTAACCAGTAAACAGGACTTAAAAAGCAGTATTTTTCTTTTATGTGACATTTTCATAACCAGAAAAAAAAAAAGAAAAAAAATCTGAAATACTAATCAGACGAATAAAAAGAGAGTGCATTTATTTTTTTGTATCACTGCAAGTATGTTGGAATATGCAAGGACTGTGGTTAAAATTAGAATGTATGAGGCATATTATAATTTAGTTCATACTGAAAAAATCTAACAGCATTTCTTGGTTCGTGCATTTGAACGATCTCTGGGTTAGATATATAGATTTTTCTATTTTGTTTTAATTTGTAATTTTTTTCTCCCTCCGTGAATTTTAGGTACACATAACTTATGTCATTTATTTATGGTCTTTTATACCTAGTTTGTAAAATTGTAAAATAGCAAACAATGCAAACATTTGCATTTGAAAATAATAAAGTAGTTGCTGTACAAACCTGAAACTGACTATTTCTAATTATTGCATGTTTTTTAAATTTAGAGTTTATCCATGACAGATACAAGTATCTGATGAAGTGGGCACTCAGGCTGCCCTGTCAGTGACATCAGTGACACTTCCCTGGACACCAAAAACCCTGCTGCTGGCACTGGRTGGGGATGTTTTTAAAGCAAATTCACCTTTTGTGGCAGGGTGAGGAAGGCAGCCTGATGGGTGGTTTTGAGGTGCCTGCATTCAGCCAGTTGGGTATGAAGAGGATGTGTCATGGGTGGAAAAACAGATTCCATTTCACATACACAAAGATGTTTTACARATTGTTTAGTTTCATCGTGAAATGAAAGAAGAACCTGTAAATCTTTTTGAAAAAACAATGATTTCAAAATGTCCAGTGACGGTTAAACACTTGGGTCCCCTCCCTTCTTTTGCTGATTCTCTATTCTTTTTCTCTTTTAGCTCCCAAATCTGAGAAATCCTCTCAAAACTTTTTACCCCAGTGGTTTCATGTACTTCCAAGTATATGGATTTTACTGAAAGATTTCCTGTCCAAAAAGACCATTTTTTCTCTCCCTGCCCCTCATCCTTTCCACATATTTATACAGTAGCATGAGGCAAGTGAGTGCATTTACACATAAAACCTCCCTCTATATATTTACATTTCATTGGTGATGAACATCCCTGTCTTTGAGCTGAGTAGTGCAAAAACCAGATGTGGGCGTCATTGTGGACATGTCAGGAAAAACAAAATGTTTTCTGACAATTGCAAAGCAAAAAAAAAAAAAAAAAAAAGAAAAAAAAAGGCATGTTATGCTCTAAATCAGCAACATGATTAAAACTAGAGCTGCATTTGAGGCCTTGACCTCAGTTATTTTACCCTTTCCCTTGCAGGGAAGTACCCTTGGGCCATTGAGTGATCCTCTATTGAATGGGTTACAGACCCCTGACATATCTTATTTCTGGCAGTGGCCCTGAACATAATTCTTTGTTTATAGAGGCCGCCGAGAAAGTTACTTGAATATGTAGACTTTTAAAAGTATAATTAAAACCTAAGGCTTTTCATTCCAATCAGCTCAGTAAAATGTGTTCTCCATGGGTGGATGGAGAGAGGAGCCACAGGAATATGCTACATTAACTGATTTTCATACATATACATGTATTTGTATATATGGGGCAATTATACCCCAGTAATYTGCTGTGGATTACTAGCCTTTAACCAGACCAACAAAAGATAATATAAATCCTTGTTTTTATAGTGCTCTTGCACTTACTCATTATTCTGTTCTATAAAATCTTGTAATTAATTGAATAGGCTGAGGCATTTTGAGACAATCATTTTTTGAATACGATTTTTTTTAAATGAAAGAAAACCCYACTGGTCAGYAGAACAAAGCCATCATGAGGAGCCYTGCTYCCSTCCCACTTCTGGCCWGGTAATCTGCCTCCCCCAGGGTTAATTGGCATTTAGAGGTGCAGGTAGGGGCCTGTTGCCAACTTTTTAATGATGCTGCTTAGCTGAGGGCCACAGCAGCACAGAGAATGAAATCCCACTCTTCCCACTTGGATTTTCAGCCTTGCACTAAGCATTCTGCTGRTGAAATTCCCAAAACTCCGCTCTGATCACCTGGGGGAGGGATTTTTCAGAAGCCAGCCATCACAGCAAGAAGCCACATGAGATCAGACCTCACCTGGGATKTGAGCTGAGCCTCCTGCCCTGTCCTGAGCAGGGTTTGGGGTGTCCCCAGGAGATGGAGGTCTGGGATAAGGTCCTTGACTCTATTACTGCACTGGTGTTTGGGATGTTCAGCAGCCCARGGTGGACAAATCATCCATGCTCTGGAAACACAGACACCAGGAAGGCAGTGGGTGTTGGAGGTGCCAGTTTTCATCAGGTTTAAACCCAAAAACCTCTTAAGGATTCTGGCCTCAGATTTTCAGAAGAGCTGTGGAAGTCTGTGCCTGCTCATTGCTGTGTGCCAGTGGGATCACCTGCAAAGTCAACCTGTAAAAATTCAGCATGGGAATCCCCAGGGAGTGCCTGGTTTATCTGCTGAGTACCTTAACCATCGTGTGAAACCTTATCCAGCCAGCAGATTCACAATGGGGCACGTATGAAAGAGTATTTACTGCCACCCTTTTGGAAAATTGTTAAAAATCTGTTGCAAAGAAGTACTTCTGCGAAAAAAAAAAAGGTTAAAATTGAATGTTGATATTATTCCACAATTAAAGAGGCTGCTGGGTTGATTGAAGCAGCATAATGAATGGCCTAGGAAAGGTGACACTGACAATTAAGGAAATAAGGATAAATGAGTTGATCAGAGCCTGCGGGTGGTGTGAACTGATTTCACTGGGAGTGCCCTGACTTGCATCAGCTTAAGGATCTAGTCCTTATCTGTGTGCCACATGAAACTTAGGTAATTTTGTTTGTATATTTCACCAGAAAATGCATTTTAAAGTGCGGTTTGGCAGTGACTCAAGCAGTGATAGCACATTCAGCTTGGTCTTTTTGCCTGTTGATTTTTTTTTTTTTTTTTTACGTGGCCATTACTCACACAAATATTTGAAGTACGTGTTGAACAATACAAAATAATGGTATCCAACAACAGACAGGAGGGTTTCCGTGGAGTCCTGCAACTCCTGGCTTTGTCAGCTTTTGTTTYCAGGTTCATGTTACGGTGGCAGATGGGTTCTGTTTGCCCAAATGGTTTGGATTGCGACACGACGCCCTTGGAGACTGTTGTGTCATTTTTGCAGACKGTGTGAGTGTTCCAGAGTGGCTGCTGGACAGGCAGGATGTGCCTGCAGGAGCCCTGGGAATGCAGAGATGGGGTTCGGGGTCTCTGCAGCCCTGAGTAAGCCGTGTGCTGTGTTTTCAGGGTGTTGTTCAGGTTTGGGAGATTCCCCCGCTGTGATGCTTTCAGGGGGCTCTGGGGAGGCACAGAGAGCCCCAGCARTGGCACTGCTGAATATTCACAGCAGCAACTCCMCTTCTCCTGTGCCCAGGGATGCTCCTCTCTTCAGTGGGGATGCAAAAAGTGTTGTCTGTAAACTTCTCTTCCATAGGTGCTGCTTCACTTCTCACCTGCTTTTGTCCTCAGCCTGTTAGGAGCTGCTTTTGACTTACCCAGGGTTTTGGAAGTGATTAGTTTCAGAGCCAGTTTATCATCCTGAACAGGTGGAAGAGATCATCAACAATTTTTAATCAGCTTTGAAAGTGGGTGTAGTTGATCCAAGAACAAAAAAGCATTCACCGTGCACTAAATCCAATCAACCGTGGGTGACTGATTGYTTTTAGCTTTCTTAATTGATTGACTGTGGCATTTCTATGAAGGAGCTATTCTGCAACCCAARGAAGTCCACACAAGTGTTTCAATTCTTGGAATAACTTGTAGGTGATGTGTTAAACCTGTGTTTGATTTCAACAGTACTGTGTATTATAAGCCAAACATGGAGATGGGTGTGCAAGAGCTCTGTTGGATCAGTGGGTGGGTTTCTCCTCTTGTTTAGTCATAAGGTAAATGGTGGAAGGTTTATGGATCTTTTGTAAAATTTTGAGGAGTTTTTTTTCAACTTTTCCCAGTTGAAAGCTCCTGTAATCCTGCCTGGTATCATCTAGCAATGGGATTTTCARAAAGAGGGTCCTGTCACCCCAGCAAAGTGGCACAAATTCTGCCTGCCTCTGTGTGTGTGGGTGGCATTGCCCTGTACACACACATGTGCATGGAAGGAGCTTTGTTCTGGCTGTGTGGAGGAGCAGCTCTGTGCTCTGCTGCTCAGCCCTCACCTTTGGCTCTGGGCACAGCTGAGGACACATTTGACACCACTCTGACATGTGACATCAGGAGGATGTGGCCATGGGCTCAGTGAGCATGGCCTTCCCTATCCCAGGGCAGCTCCAGGACACCATCCAGGCAGACTTTGTAACACCACTGCCAGATTTGCACTGGTGTTTTCACCTTTACTTTTACTTGCACAGCTGAAAATGAACCTGTCAAGCCCTGAAGTATGA